TCCAATGGCATAACCAACACAGGTTTATCATTAAGTCAGTGACTAGAGGCACTGAGAAGCTTGAAACCAACATTATTATTGGTCTCAAGAGCAGGATGAAAGAAATCTTTCCCTTTTTCACATATAGAATCATAAAATCATAGAATCATAGGATAGTTAGAGTTGGAAAGGACCTTAAGATCATCTAGTTCCAATTTCCCTGCCATAGGCAGGGACACCTCACACTAAACCATCTCACCCAAGGTTCTGTCCAACCTGGCCTTGAACACCACCAGGGATGGAGCATTCACGACTTCCTTGGGAAAACCATTGCAGTGCCTCACCACCCTAACAGGAAAGAATTTCCTCCTTATATCCAATCTAAACTTCTCCTGTTTAAGTTTTAACCCGTTGCCACTTGTCCTATCACTACAGTCCCTAATGAAGAGTGCCTCCCCTGCATCCCTATAGCCCCCCTTCAGATACTGGAAGGCTGCTATGAGGTCTCCGCGCAGCCTTCTCTTCTCCAGACTGAACAGTCCCAACTTTCTCAGCCTGTCTTCATACAGGAGGTGCTCCAGTCCCCTGATCATCGTCGTGGCCCTTCTCTGGATTTTTTCCAACAGTTCCATGTCCTTTTTATGTTGAGGACCCCAGAACTGCACACAACACTCCAGCTGAGATCTCATATGAGCAGAGTAGAGTTTTACATATCTGAGGCCACAATGACTTTATTTGAAAGAGAAATGATATGTTGAAACTCCCAATTTCCAGTTTTCCTTTTTTTTTTTTTTTTTCTTTTGGTAATATTTTGTCATCCATTTTGTCTCTGCAGATCTTCATATGCCTCCCATGTCTTTGCTAATCTGTGTGATTTACTGATACTAACAACCCATGCAACCTTAGTGTTCATATTTTATTCATAGTCAAAAGCAGTACAGGAACTTGTGTCAATCCTCCCACAGAATGGCTCACTACTAGTCACTCTCTACTCTGCTTTATTGTAATTTACTTCCACTTTTATTTTTTTAGTTTATTTTTAATCAGTGACAGACTTACCTTTTATATATTACCCATGGGTCTCAAATTCTAAAGACGCCATATTATCAGTAAAATTCTTATCTCTGCAGTTAAAACACTTGCTTTCTCATTTCCTTGCTTCAAATTTTATTCCTTTTGGCTCCCCTACTACTTACTGAACACTAAAAAGCACTAAATAAGTAATAAATACTCTGAAATTAAAAAAAATTTTCTCTGGTCTTGTTTCTTTTCAGTTTCCTTCTTGGCTTCTTTTCCTTATTCAAGCCCCAACTTGAAATGAGATGACCCGTTATGATTTTCACCACAAAAGTGACAAACAATTTTAATCTGTATTAATAATTTCCCTCAGAGAATCATTACCCAATTCCAGACACAAAATTACTACCATTATCAGGATGCCTGGGAAGCACTATCTGCATGGATGGAGCAGGAGGAATAAAAGTACCTGGAAATCACTTTACCCTTACCCCATCTTGAAGTTCCTTGAAAAAGAAGCTGGTCTGCAAGCTGATATAATTTATACTGACAGAGAGTGGTTCTTACAAGCTTTAATGACAGCGACCTGTTGCCTGTGCTCCCTGGGAAGCAGTATGGTAGTTGGAGGGTCTTATACCTTCCAAGGGTTTTCACCACTAGAGGAATTCTCCTCTGACTAAACCTGTTCTGGCAAAGGTTGCCTTGGGAATCATAAACTGGGGCTATTTCATGGTGGTTCTAACCCAGTCTTTACTGGGTCCATTCCAAACCTCATAGAAAATGATACTCTACATCTTACTGATTCAATCTTCGATCTGAAACACTTTCAAGTCTTGGAAGGTTATGTGACAGCGGCTTCCATTTTCCTGTCATCTTTCACTTTGTCCCTTTAGTGGGTGGAGTCACTGCATTTTTTGATGTATGCAACACTCCATGTCAACCCATTCCTGGTCTTTGGTTGCTACTCATGTACATGTTATTATTCATACAAATTATACAAAGAAGTTTCATAGCAAATGCCACCTTCTGTATTTATTTTATTGGGAAAGATTATGTAGATTTAGGGGTTTGTGTAATGAAAGTTGGTTCTGATTTTTCCCCCTGAACAAATATTTCAATTCCTTTTTCTTTTTTTCTGGTTTTGGGTTTCCTTTTTTTTCTTTTTTGTCTTCTTGTTTCTACTTCCAGTGTTGGCTTTTGCTTTTCTTTCTGCTTGTTCAGTGGCCCAGGCAGTCAGTGATGGGATTTTCCTGTCAACCAACTGATTTATCACCTTCTAGTTCAGCTGTACCTCATAGCTGTGTAGCCTCTTCAGACACAGTTTTCAGTTCTTTATTTTCTTCTGGAAACTCTAATTAGCAGTCACAATTGTGATGAATGGGCTATATTAAATAGTAAGTGCCTGGGTTAAAGGTTTATGCAACAACATGTGGGTACAGTTCTGTAAACAAGTGAATGATTGAGGATACCATATGCATAAAACCTGAGCTGCCGCAGAGAAGAAATGAACTGGGGAAAAAAAACAAATCAAAACAAACAAACAAAAAAACAACCCAAAGCATAATTATGAAATTGGTGAATGATGTGTCATATTTTTTGCTGTCATGTGTTAATATTTGCTCCATTTGATATCCCAGATGTTTAAAGCAGTAGTTAAATCTGTCCTTGTCTGGGCTAACAGAGAAGCTTTTTACAAAAAAGATTTAAAGGTTTACTCCATTTCTAGAGGTTGTTTTTATTACTCCATGATGTGTTTCCCATATTCTGCTGTTCCCTTTCAAGTGTGTTTTCAAAAATTTACTTGTTTGCAAGCTGAGAAAAGAAGGATATTTAATAGCATTCAAATAAGACATTCCCTTCTGTGTTTCAAATTTTGCTTTGGAAGAGGCACATAAAATAATTTCAGAAACAAACATTTTTTTTATACGTAACTTAGTTTTGTAAAATTAAAGTTCACAATATTCTGAAAACATTGTTCCTGAGAGAGAAACATTTCACCACTGCTCTGAGAGTAGTAATTCACAGTGACAAAGGCAGCCAGTATATTTTGTTTGTTTAAAACTGTACATTTTGGAGGAGGAGGGAAAAGTACAAAACACACTTTAAGTGCCTTGAAGTGTTTGTTGTACACAGGAGACTCAGTAGCTAGAATTTGTCTCTGATGAATAATCAGAATATTTTGTCCTTGATATTTCTTGCCCAGAGTAGACCTTATGAATGATGTACATGTACCTTTTGTTGAGCATTTAAAGTACTCAGAAAACAAACACATAGGCTTGCATATTCAGAACCAAAAGGAAGGTACGATTTTAGATTTAAAGATTTTCAGATTCCCATTTCCAGGTCCTCTAGTGGGATCTGGTTTCCAGAAAATAAATGCCCTTCATCTGATGTATAGCTGAGCATACCAGAATAAAACTACCCCAGATCTGAAAAAGGGAAGGGTAAAACTTCTATTTCAAAACACAGCCCATACCCTCAATTTTCCATTCCATCACTAAGTCTTCCTCTCTGTGCCCCCTCTTTACTTACAATCTGGTGAAATTACTTCAGTGATGTCATGCTCAGGGAACAAAAGTCTCACTTATAAAAGGATTTTCTTTATTTTTCATAATTTAGCTGAACCAACACAAAAATGAATACTGTAAAACAACAAAAATGATGTAACATCTTTTAATTTTTCTGTGTTTGCTAAATAAGGCTACTATACTCCCTTTAAAATAAATCAAAACAGAGAGTTGGCAGAGTGAGGGTCTGGCTCTTGAGGTCTACATGTACAGCAAATGTATTTACCGTCATTTATTGCATGACATTTTAAACCTGACATTAGTCATTTATAGTGCATTCAGTCCATAACACTTTTTAAGTGGCTGGGCTTTAATTGCTACTTTGACACTGGTCAAAATACTAAGATTAAATAATAATTTTGTATCTATTTATTTTACTTGAAGAAAAAATGATCTATAGCTCATGTTTCCTGCAACCTCTGCATTAAATAAGACTCAGTATTAGAGCAGGCCTTAAAAAAATGTCTTGAATCAACTTGTCATTTTTGAACCTTTCACCTATGGTCACTTGAACAATCTCTATATATTTTTCTTTAGTAGAATAGAACTAGCATAACACTAAAAGTTAATTGGAATATTAGGTAGTATACTTGAAACCATAAAACATTTTCCAGGAAAAATTAAGCTCCCTTGTTGATTGCAACATACGAATATGTACCAAACTTACATACCAAAAAGGGAACAAAGTTTTGTTTGTTTCTCTGTTTTATCATAATTTCCCCCTCATCTATGCTGTCTTTGCTAAATCTTCACTAACCAATAATGCCAAAAACGTGGGCTTTCTAACATGAGGTAAAACACTGAAAATGGGATCAAGGAACAGGCTTCAAACTGACTTTTACATAAAAGGGGGGGTGGGGTGGGGTGTGAAGAGGGAGTAGAGAAGGGAGAAAGGGAGAATAAGAGAAAGACAGACAGGAAAGGGAAAGAAAAGGAAAAAAAAAGAAAGAAAATGAAGGAGAAAAGAGAAGGGGAGAGGAGAGGAGAGGAGAGGAGAGGAGAAAAGAAGAGAAGAGGAGAGGAGAGGAGAGGAGAGGAGAGGAGAGGAGAAGAGAAGAGAAGAGAAGAGAAGAGAAGAGAAGAGAAGAGAAGAGAAGAGAAGAGAAGAGAAGAGAAGAGAAGAGAAGAGAAGAGAAGAGAGAAGAGAGGAGAAGGAAAGGAAAGGAAAGGAAAGGAAAGGAAAGGAAAGGAAAGGAAAGGAAAGGAAAGGAAAGGAAAGGAAAGGAAAGGAAAGGAAAAAGAAAAGAAAAAGAAAAGAAAAACAGAGAATGAAAAGGGAGAAAAAAAGAAAAGGAGAAAGAAAAGGAAGAAAGAAAAAAAAAGAAAGCAAAAAACCGTGCTATGAAGAGCAATGAGTAAAATATTTTACACTCTATTTTTATCAGTACATAAAGACCAAAAATAAAAATAAAATAAAAAAATGACTTTCAACAGTGCAATGGTTGAATGCATTTATGTAATATAAACAACATTATTCTTTGCTTTTTCTACACAGTCTTCTCTGGTCATGCTTTACATCCAGAATGTCCCAATGGAAGAAAGCAAACGATACCAGTCACTTCAGAGACAACTGAAGTAATAAAACACAACTTAACTCTGAACCACTTGTCATGACTGTCAGAGTTATCACGTTAATTGTTAAATAGGATTTTCTACAAATATACAACATATAAAAACTGTTAAATATATAACTTTAGGCTTTTCAAAATACATTTAATGATCTCTTTCAAACAAGTGTTACTTTTTGTTTTCTCTTTAATTTGCTTTCTGGTGCTAAATGGTGTTTCAGATGAGACATAGGCCACAGATGACCAAACATGCTCTTTGCAAATACTGTATTATCCAACTTTAACTATCAAAAATGGAACTGTAGAAGAGGCATGTTTAACTGGTTAAAACTGAAAATGATTTTAGTACGAGAAAGTCAATCTAAGTACAGAGGAATAAAGGTGCCGTGTAGACAGTTTGTGTTCTTTTTGTCCAAGTTTTTCAAACTCAGTGCTCCATTATGTTCTCTTGAACGTGGCATTTCAAGAGTAGGTCTCTGAGTTAGTTTTTACTGCAGTTTTCCATAAAGACTTCTGCTGAACAACATCTCAGCTTTGTGAAATCTGGAATCATGTCTTTGTGGAGACCTCCTACAATTTAATGACATAACTCTGTTAACAGTAAGATTGTGTCCACTTTAAAATAGATTTTGCTCTTTGGTCTATTGTATATACTGAAAGTATAAGAAAATAAAAGCAATTCAGACAGTTTAGGGCACAAGAAGAGTTTCTCTTTTGCACCTCAGTGTCCTCCCATAGGCAAAACAGTCTTCTCTAAGGCTGACTGGGATGATACTCTTCATTGTAGCAGACTCTTCGAATTAAAACATGTAGGTAACAGCAAGTCCAGCAGTGGTGTATAACGCAGATGAAACGTTAACCATGAACTTTTTTGTATTGCTAATGCCCAAGCATATCTCTTTTTCTAGATTCCTTAGTTCCGTGATCCTTAATATGGTAGAACAAACTTTAGCTCTTAATGTAGAGGAATTATGCTGTCATTCATGAGATACAGAGAAACAGACAGTTGAGTTGATGACATATAACGAATGATGATCAACAGCAGTGAAACTTGACTAAGTAGCTCACACAGAGCCTAAACCACTCCTACGAGGATTCTGTGTTGCTGCATTTGTCAGGAGACCTGTAAATCAATAAGAACAAATGAGTCAGTGTCTTAAGTTAAAATCCTGGTTATCTTTGCTGTCCATTATTTTCAAATATACTGTACTGAGATTAGTGAATTAACAGCTACTGAATTAGAAGATATTTTTCACAGCAAACATTTCTCCTGAGAAACAACATATGAACAAACCTATATTTTAATTTGTTAGAAATATTTATCATTTTAATAATTTTTTCTAATAAACTAATGAATAAAAATGATAATTTACAATAACTTCAATGCCACAGATCTTCTACTAAGCTCCATGCACATTCCTTTTTATAAAAATAATATCACAGAATGTTCTTTTACCTGCATTAAAGTTACATATAACAATATCTAATACACATGGCAATAAAAATGACTATTTACTTTTCACGTATGGGATATGATGAAAAATGGACGTGAAAGCCATGACCATTTATTAAAAAAGCAAGGATGCTTGTACTGGAGGCTTTTCTGCACATAAATTTCCAATGAGCAGTAGAGTGCGCGTAATTTAATCAATACTGCCCTCTAGCGATGCTATTACAAGTGCAAATTAATGTAAAAAATGTTTATTAATAGTCGATTTAATTATAAAATTGTTTTAGTAGCACAGCAATAAAAAAAAAACAAAAAAACAACAAAAACGAACCCAAACCCCAACAAAACTCCACAAAACAATGGAATGGGTAAAGGACTGCCTGATGAACCTGTTTAAAATAAAAATGGAATGAAAACAGAGGTTTAAAAGAGAAACAGAACCAAAGTTCACACTATTAAAGAAAACAAGAGTACTGGATGACAGCTCAAACACAAAAGAGAAAGTGATGACTGATTTTATACAGCAAGGAGCCAGCTACTCATGCTCACCCAAAATAACAGTTTAGAAATGGTTTCAAAATTACACAGATATTGTACAAGACAAAATGTTTTGAGATGTATTAAGCAAGCATGATGGTTACAAAATGCGGTTTGAATGCTCAAACACTATCTTCTGCTTTGGCATTGTTCTGTCTCCAAACAGTCAGAACTGTTTACTGATGGAAATACCATGCATAACTCCAGAAAATATTGAACAGTGAATGTGAAAGAATAAAACAAATAAGAAAATACAGTTCACTTGGTTCAAGCCGTGTATCAGATTTAGAGTTTTTCATCCAACCCTCAGAGCATTAAATGAAAGAAATACCTGCCTCCAAATCAATTTAGTGACAGCTTGAAACATATGGATCTCTCTACATGTATGTGGAAAGATAGAAAGATAGATAGACATACAGACAGAGATAGACAAATACTTTCCTTATAAGGCATAAAGTGTATGTCACATATTTCTGCTTTTGTCCTCTCACCTTTTCCAGGAAAAAACACCCCAGAAATCTTGCAAACAGCCTTTCCTTTTCGGACTAGTGATCAGATCTCCAAACCACATGGCCTCAGACAGGCTGAAGGCAAAAAACCTGATTGATTATTGTGGTATATTCCCCTTTTTAAATATACGTTCAGCAAGAGAAATTAAAGTTTTGCTTCTATTAATTTTTCTGTTTCCCCTTTATACTCTTTCTTGGGGTTTCCACTATGCCCCCTATTTCTCTTCCCATTAGAAAAGAACACAACTTTAAAGGTAGTCATATTTTTTATCCAGCAAGACACAAACCAAAAGATTTATGGTTTATTACATTTGAAAGTAAACTACTATTGTATTAAGAATTAGGCTGAGTTAGCTCCATCTTTCCTGAATTATGCTGGAGTGGCCTAAAGCTAAAAGCAACTGCGTAAACTGCTGACGGACTGTGTGTTCGGTGTTTTCACAGTGTGCTTCTGTACCAATATTGGTCCCAAGATGGAGAGAGAATTCAGGTACAACCACATCCATTTGCAGATACCTGCTGCTTTGTCATTTTATGGATATAAAAGCTTCCTTCCTGACTTGCTATCCCTGTCTCTACTTCACACATCCCTGCTGCGTGAATATGGTATCAACACTTTAAAAGAAGGAGAGAAGAGGGGAGACAATTATGCATTTTAAAAATGCTGAGACAGGGCAGAGAGCAAGTTGAAATAAAGTGATGACAGGAAGAGGAACAGATTAGAGAACAGGATGTGAATTTACAACTTTGGACAATGACAGAAGAAAATAGAATTGGGGGGAGGGGTGTGGAAGAGAAGGCATAGGTTAGCTAGGGAAGTTTAAACATCATTTATGAAGGCATGAAAAACACCATGATGAAGGCATGAAAAAGAAGTAAGGTAGGTAATAGGAACAAATGACAGAAAGGAGACAAAGGATAAAAGAGAGCATGAAGAGTCCAGAGAAGAGAAAATGTACACCTACCCTCCCACCTCCTGTTTTTTTCCCTTGTATTCCTCATTATAGATAAATTAATCACTCCCCAGAAAACCAGGCAGATTAAGCAAGAGAAAAGAAAGATTATCAAAATGACCATAAAAGGGACTTCTTTATTATTTATACTAAAAGTTCAAAACCTAAAATAGAATCATACAATTGTTTAGGTTGGAGAAGATCTTTAAGATCAAGTCCAACTGTTAACCTAAGACTGCCAAGTCCACCAACTAAATCATATCCCTAGGTGCCACATCTACACATCTATACTTCCAGGGATGCTGACTCCACAGCTTCCCTGGGCAGCCTGTTCCAGTGCTTGACAACAGTTTCATTGAAGAAATTTTTCCTAATGTCTTATCTAAACCCGTCCTGGCACAACTTGCGTTCATTTCCCTTTGTCCTAACCCTCATAACTTGGGAGAAGAGGCCAACACCCACCTCACTACAGTCTCCTTTCAGGTGGTTGTAGAGAGCAATAAGGTCCCACTTGACCTTCTTTTTCTCCAGGCTAAAAAAAACCCAGTTCCCTCAGCTGCTTATCACAGAACTTGCTCTCTAGACCCTTCACCAGCTTCACTGTCCTTCTCTGGACACGATCCAGCACCTCAGCCATGAGCACCCAATTTCTCCAGGGGAATGCTGTGGGAAATAGTGTCAAAGGCTTTAGTAAAGCCTGCATAGACAACATCTACAGCCTTTCCTCATCTAGTAAAGGGGTTGCCTTGTCATAGAAGGACACCAGGTTAATCAACCAGGACTTGCCTTTCATAAACCCATGCTGACTGGGCTTGATCACCAGGTTGTCCGGTACAGACTGTGAAGACACACAAGAGGATCTGCTCCATAACCTTCCCCTGCACAGAGGTCAGGCTGAGTCGCCTATAGTTCCCCAGACCCTCCTTACAGCCCCTCTTGTGGATGAGTGTCACATTTGCTAACCTCCAGTCAACTGGGACTGCCACGGTTAGCCAGGACTGCTGAGAAATAATGGGAAGTGGCTCGGTTAGGCTCTCTGCCAGCTCCTTCAGTACCCTTTGTTTCTTTTTTTCCCTTCACTTAGGAAATTTGCAGCAGCATCAAATTAAAGAGTCCCAGTACTGATCGCTTAACTACAAGATTTTCTTTTCTGTCCATTTCTACACAGGACTCATGGCAGTTCTAGGTTGCCATTAGGTACCATTGCACAAGTCTTATTTTTTTTTACTGACTTCAAGGAAGTCAGAATTTCTCCTCTGTGCTTTAGACTGCAGGTTCAGTTCCTTCTCAAGGAGTCAGATGTTCTGGCTATGTGTCTGGAGAACTCTTGATCTTGTTCAACTTTGAGAGATTGAGTGAGCGTCTAGTACTAGACACTAAAATATTACCGTATGTTATCTGATTTTTTTTATGTGATGGAAGCCCAAGTTCCTGTGTGTTCCACAGAATTCTGTTCAAGCAGAAAAATGACTGCATATTAATAGATAATCCAAAGCATAAGAAACAATGCATTTCATATGACCATATATATCTTATAATTTTTGAATGGCTTGAATATGTCCTAAGAGTGTTTACACAATTGTTACATAGTCCACTTAATTCCTCGTATTCTGGAGGGAGTAGAATAACAATGAATACCATTATCTCCAGCTGTGCCCTAATGGCAAATAAAGTAATTTACTGTTTCATTCCTATGAGTCAAAGACAGACAAAACATTATTCAAGCCACCTTGAGGAACTGGGAATATGTGGTGATTTTCTGACAGGATTTCCACCAAAAGAAACTCACTCAAAACCCTCTGTCTGTCCTTCAGTGTGGTATGATTGAATTCAGTGACAAAATGTTTTAATTTCTCACCACAAACCAGAAAACTGAACCAGACTTACTATAACTGGCAAATATTTTCAGAGTTAGGACTGAGTTTCAAGTACATCTTGCCTGACCTTTTATTTTAAATAGAACCTCCATAAAAAACAACAATACCATGTCAAGCCTGGCAAAGCCTTAGCAGTTTCATCTGGTTTACACTCTCTATTTTTTGAACAAAAATGAAAGTCAGAGTGAACCAAAGTCATCATTTTTGCTACAGTAGCCAAGTGCCTTTACATGATTGCCTGTTGAAGTTACATTGACACTTTATGATGACAACTCTGAACTATCTATCATGTTTCCAGTGCTGATTTCTGGAAATTTTCTGGATGCCTACAGAGAAATTGGTCATATTAAAGAGATTTCAGTGTTGCTTTACAGATGAACTACTTGTCTGAAGTGTGGATTGTGCACTTTCAACTACGGTCTTAAAAATGACTTCTGTGAGTCTTAGGATTCTGTATGGCACACATCAATGTAAATGGCTTTTGGTTTTGGCTTAGGGTTTTTTGTACAAAGTTAGAGATGGATGTAGGTTGGGCCAGTCTCTGCCTCACAAGCCTACTCATAAAGGAAACAGTTCCAAACCTTTTTACCAACTGATGGCAAGTCAGATAAAGCAACGTCTTTCCTCTCTGCTTCTGCAGCTGTCTCTTCTAGTCTCTGAAAAACGAAGCATGTATAATGCAGGAAGAAAGATATAAAAGCATTAAAATGCCCAAGGAAAACCTTATGCTACCTTGCAAGATACCTCATGCTTTATGGGAATAAAAATGTAAATTTCTGGTGATGATCCAAGCAGTAGCAATGACCTGTTGTATTTATGAGAACTCTCACAGTCCCTCCTGAAAATTTATTCTGTTTTTCTCCCTTCTTCTCCCTTTCTCCATGCTGTTCATATATGCAAATTGAACTGTTTAGTCTTCAGGAAAATACAAGTTAATCTAACTTTAAAGTGTCTGCAGCTACTAAGAATAAGATAAAGAAGCATGGACGCTCCTATACTTAGTAGTGCTGTATTCTGACTCACTGAGCTAGCCATACTCTTCAAGTTGTAATACCTGCAGAACTAGGAAAAATAACATCGATCAAATTCAGTGTCTGTGCTTGGGTGAATGTTTATAAAAAGCAGCCTAGTGTATTATGTACACAGATAATACCTTCCTGTGCTGCACTCCAACAAAGCAGCATTCATGAGTTACAGACAACAGAATCCAATCACTAGCCACCTTCTAGAACATGCCCTTTCTTAACATCCACTATCTGGACTGGACTTTTTTTATCATTTCTACTATTCAAGTCAAGCACAGAAAGAAGTATTTATTCCAACTCTGAGACTCTTTGCAAATGAGATATTTTTTCTCCAATAACAATTACTTTGATATTACTGATCTGTCCAGAATGAACACCAAAAAGTGCCATTTCCCCTTAAATAACACTCCCAGCCCTATCTTCTCAATTTGCCCTGACCACCTGCCAGGACTATTATTTTGATTATTCATTTCCTTTTCTATCAAAATCCTGTTTCCCTCATGCTACCTTTTTGAACTCACAAGATCTTGGAATGTTCTAGGTCAGATCATACATTCCTCCTTTCTTCTCAATTGCCCATTCCTACATAAGCAATACTAGAGAAGGCAGTGGGACTGTTCTTATAACTAGATAATCCTTACAATGAATGAAACTGTTAGAACAAAGTGTTGTAACTCAGCTGACCATGGGTCGTGTAGGTGACCTGTGTTTAAGAGCTCAGCCTTAGGTATATATAATAATACAAGCTTGCTTTTCAGCATCTGAACATATGCTAAGAAAAAGCAATGGAGGTGGCAGAAGAGGTGGCAGCAAGAATATCTGTGCTCAGAACATTCAAAGCTGTTGAGCACAAAGGTGATCATGGAGTAGCATTTAGAGCTGTTGTGGATCAGACAGGTCTCATTCTGCCCCCATGAAAGTCTAAAGCTAGCTCCTTGAAGTAATATGGATAGAAAGATGGTATGATGAAGAGGATCACATATTTTGCAAGGCATAACAATGCAAACCAGAGTGTCTTAATCTCTAATGTGCTGGGTAAAAGCAAACACACTTAAAACAACACTACTGAAAGGCCTTGAGCAAGTAACCCAATTGTATCTGATTTCTCTTTGCTTTGGTTAGAGGTGTACACCTAGATGAAGTTTAGCACCAGGTAAAACTAAGAAAGGTTTGTAACTGGCACAGAATTGTAAACTTGAGAAATGACTACTTACTTTTTT